TTTCTTAGGTGAGAAGGAAAAGCCCTATGCCTTAAGAAGCCACTCTGCTGGGCTCCATCGTATCCCTGGTTCTTTGTCATACTGTCCAGCCACCTGCTCAGTCCCCAAGCCTGCTCCTCCTCATCCCCACGGAAGGCCGGGGGTGAAAGGCTGCACATAGCAGCCGGACAGCAATGTCTGTGGATGTTGAGCCTCTCCATGCTGGGTGAGCTCTGTTGCACCTGTGACTCTTTGTTTTTTAGACGGCTACCTTAAGAACTTTCAGATCTGCCCTGTCAAAAAGCAACAGCCACTGGGGCCTCGGAAACTTTCATCTGGGGCCGGGGAGAAAGCTTAGTTTAATCAGGTGCTTGCTGTGCAAGTATGAGGATTGGCGTTTGATCCTATCACCTATGGAAAGAAATCATGTTGGTGTATGCTTAGAATTTCAGTTTCTGGAGAGATGGGGACCAGTGCATCTCTGGGGTTCCCTGACCATCCAGTCTAGCCTAATTGGTGATCTCCAGGTCAGTGATAGAGCCTGGCTCACAAAAACAAGGTGGCGGGTCCACCCAAGTTTCCCCTCTGCCTTGTACATACGTGCACACGCAAAACTTAACTTCAGTGGGTTAAATATTCAGCTTGCCAGTCACACTAGCTGCATTTCTCTAAATCATAGATGAGCTATCGGCTGCTGCCTTGGACAACACAGAGAACATTTAAATTGTCATCAGACCGAGGCTTGGTTCTTGTCCACCTTCTGTTGATGCAGAAATGAGTTTTCCTGGAAGGCAAGCATGCTCATTCTCTTATGTGTGTCTGTGCTTTCCCACTCTGCCAGCAGAGTTCAGTGGAGCAGTAGAACCATCTGGCCCACAGTGTCTAAAATAGTCACTATCTAGACTAGGCAGTTTCCCAGCCCTATTTTACGTGCTTTTCTGAAAAGTATGCACAGCTATGTACGTACAAATGTTACAGATTCCAGGAATAAGAGAGTGCCACTGTCCATGCGTCAAAGCACAGGTTACAAATCTTTCTAGAATCTTCAGACACCAACATTGGTACTCTTTGCATGTCACCAAGAGCCCCACTGTCACTTAAGAATAAGACCATTGCATCTACTTGGGGTTCCCACCCAAGCTTCCCAACTTTTACCTCTTCTTCTAAAATACTAGATTTAAGGGGCTGTTGTTCTGTTCACTGTTAAAACATATCAAGAAAAAAATCATCAGGATCCTATCCCCATCTTATCTAATGTTATTATATTGTCACAAGAACACCTTACTCTTCTTCCAGCCAGCCTCCATGCCCCCACCACACGCACACACACACACACACACACACACACAGTCTTAAGGTTACTATTGTGGTGATGAAACGCCATGATCAAAAGCAACTTGGAGAGGAAATGGTTTATCTGGCTTACTGTCCTGAGTCACAGTCTGTTGAGGGAAGTGAAGACATGACCTCATGCAGGGCAGGAACCTGGAGGCAGGAGCTGATGCAGAGGCAAGGGAGGGGTGCTGCTTTCTGACTTGCTCCTCAAGACTACCTCGGCCTGCCTTCTCATAGCACCCATGAACACCAGCCCATGGGTAGCACCACCCACAGTGTCTGGTCTCATCCCCATAAGCCACTAATTAAGAAAATGCCCTGTAGGGTTTGCCTATAGCCTGATGTTATGGAGGCATTTTCTCAATTGAGGCTCCCTCCTCTAAGATGACTCTAGCTTGTATCAAAAAACTAGCATAAAAACTAACCAGCACATAACATTTGGTATAAATGCCTGATTTAAGTTCCCAGAAGGACATATATTCTACTGAAGTCATGGACCATAGACAGAAGATAACATGATGCTACCTTGAGCCTCCAGAGTCACCAACAGTTACATAGAGGTGGTACTGTCTACTCGTGGTCTTCAGATTTTGCTATTACATGTTACCCATGTGTGGTGGTATAGAGGGAAGCCTTCCCGCCAGCCTAGTTCCAGAGCCACATCAGTCCCAAATGAGCACACAGTAGGATATATTAATTATGAAGCTGTTGGCCTTGCTTGTTTCTTACTGGCTAGCTCTGATTTAAGTATTTACTCCATAATTGTTAATCTAAGTATTTCCCTTACCGGAGAATAGGGTCTGGACTTCTTACCCCTATGGCAGCTACATGATGACTCCCTGTATTTCTCCTTCCCAGAATCCTGCTCGACTCCTAATCCCACCTATCTTACTTCCCTATTGGCCAACAGTGCTTTATTCAACAACCAATAAGAGATTTACAGAATGGCATCTCCCATCAGTGGTAGTAGATGCCTGTAATTTCAGCATTCAGGAGCCTGAGACTGGAAGATCTTTGGTTTAAGGCCATCCTGGGCTACACAGTAAGACCCTGCCTCAGGATAGAAGGAGAAGAGGAAGAGAGGGCCAAGGAGGACAGACTTTTAGAATACAGCTGTCTTCATCCAGGAAGAACCGAGGCCAACAAGTTCTTTGTTTCCATTAAGAGACATGGTTGTTTTGGGTTTTGTGACAGGGTTTCTTCTGTGTAGCCCTGGCTGTCCTAGAACTAGTTCTGTAGACAAGGCTGGCCTCGAAATCAGAGATTCACCTGCCCCTGCCTCCCAAGTGCTGGGATTAAAGGCCACCACCACCACCCTGAAAGAGACTCTTGATGTAAATCTTCCCCTTTAGAAACAAACACAAACAGTATCCATAGGGCATGTGTTAATAATTTGTTGGATTTAATATTTTCTTTGATCAATGAATCTATTTCCTCTATGGCATCTTCAGCACCTGAGATTCTCTTCCACCTCCTGTACTCTGTTTGTGCTTGCATCTGTAGTTCCTGACTGTTTACCCAGACTTTCCATTCCTGGAGTTCCCTCGGTCAGTGTTTTCTTTATTGCCTCTACTTCAGTTTTCAAGTCTTGAACCATTTCCTTCACTTGTTTGATTGCTTTTTCTTGGTTTTCTTTAAGGGATTTGTTGATCTCTTCCAATTTTTTGTCTTTTCCTCTATTTCTTTAAGGGAAAATTTCATTTCCTCTGTAAGGGCCTCAATCAGCTTCATAAAGTTATTTTTAATGTTGTTTTCTTCTGCTTCATCTGTCGAAGTCTTGTTGCCTGTAGAAACACTAGTTCTGGTGGTGCTGTATTGCTCTTTCTGTTGAGTGTATTCTTACCTTGTTTTCTACCCATCTCTTCCTCCAGTCAGTACAGGCTGAGTCTTGCTTCAGGGGTTCCCTCTTTCTCCAACTAGTGAAGTTGGGGGTTGTCCCTCGGTTGAACGCTCCTTCAGGTGCAGGTAGGGCTGAGCTTCTGGTGATTGCTCATCCAGGTGTAGATGGGCCCAAGGCTCAGATGATCCCTCCTGGAGGTGCAGGCAGGCAGGGGTGAGGCTGAATCTCGGTAGTCTGATAGTTTCTAGACGCCGCTGCTGTCAATCCTTCTGGGCTGGGCCTCTTGCTTGGCCGCTGATATATTCATTCTCTCTCATTCTCTCTCATTCTCTCTCTCTCTCTCTCATTCTCTCTCTCTCTCTCTCTCTCTCTCTCTCTCTCTCTCTCTCTCTCTCTCTCTCTCTCTCTCTCTCCTTCCCCCCAACTACCAAGCTCACTCTGTCACTGACACTTTTTCCTGGCTTCTAGGCCAACAGGAACTCATATAAGGAAACATTCAATTGAGGTGGCTGTTGCACAAAAAAATAGAAGATCCAGAGACTGATATTGGGGTTCAAGCTTCAAGCTGAAGATGGGAGAAACAAGGCAGCCAAGCCAATAGATCTTACCTCTGCCAAGCTGAAATGGCAAAAGGCTCTGAATTCCTATCTCCTCCCAGCCATATCCTCCTGTCTCCACCTCCCTAGTGCTGGGAAAGGGTGTGTATCACCACTTTCTGATCTCTAACTTGAAGCTGGATTTGCTTTCCGAATCCTCAGACATACTTTAATAAATTATAAATAATATATCATCACAGGTGGCAGCTTGTAGTTCAGAGGTTCAGTCCATTGTCATGATGCGAAACATGGCTGCACGCAGGCAAGCATGATGATGGAGAGGTGACCGAGAGTTCTAAGTCTGGATTGGTAGGCAGTAGGAAGAGGGAGACACTGAGCCAGGCTCGAGCTTCTCAAACTTCAGTATCCACCCCCAGTGACCCCCCAGACACTTTTTTAACATTCTACTATGTAGTACTGGAACTGGGTTGGGTCAGTATGTGTCTGTCCTTTAGCAAGGTGGCTTGCTGGCATTAGGAGACAACAGGCACTCTGAAAGAACCACCGGCAAGTTAAGATTGGAAGATTGAACTCTATGTTACGGGCACGGATTGGTTCTGTGAACTTGAATAAATCACGTCATCCCTTTGATCAGTTTCCTCAGGTCCATTGAACAGCAGAGTTAACTCTGGAAGTGGCCTTCAAACTTGACCACATGTAGCAGGTCAGAAGCAGTGAGGTAGAAAGAGGGCTGTGGTGGAGCACAGCTGTAACCCCAGCACTTGGGGAGCTGAGGGCTAGCCTGGGCTACAGAGTACTGTGTCTGGTACTGTAGCACAAATCTAAATCTACCTGATTATCAACCTCTCTCCTAAGAAAACAGTGACTCCATGATGGAGGCTTAGGGCGGAATTTCTGAGTCTGAGTTTGGTAGTGCTTTGTAATACCAGCACTTGGGAGGCTACATCAGAAGGATTATGAGTTCAAAGCCAACCTGAGCTACATCGTGAGAACCTATCTCAGAAAGGAAAGGGGATAATATTTCTGCCCTGAAGGTTGTCATTACCAAATTTAGGACAGACTGACATATGTAAATAATTTCAAGGCGATGAATAGGACCCATTAAGCAGACTCATAGAGGAAGTGCGCTGTCAGGAAGAGTGGTGAGATCTGAGCTGACTTTGAAAGCCATGTGTGGACAGAAAGCCATGTGTGGACAGAAAGCCATGTGTGGACAGAAAGCCTGGAGCAAAGGAGTCAATGCACAATCACTGCTGAGACCAGATGAAGACTCACCAGGGTGTCTGGAGGTGAGAGAAGCTCCCCAAACTACAGTGCTGGGGAAGAGTCCATAGCGTCATTCTTCCCCATCTCTTGGGGCTGGTCAGAAACTCTATGGCAGGGATCTGGTTTGCTTTTGTAAGTCTAAAAGAAGAGGAAGCAGAATGTGAACATTATAGCCAACATTCCTTGCAGCAATTACATAAAGAGTTAAATTCATTAATTTCTAGGTTTTCTCCAGACATTTTTCTTTTTATGGGACATTTTTAGGCTTAACTAATTCATAGTGTCCCTAACACCAGGACTAGCTCAGAAATACAATTAGTAGAATAACGAAGAACAATTGATGTTTTGCTGGTAGTTTTTCAGAACATGTTATTTAAATAAGAACCAATTGTTTAGAAACAAATCAGGATGGCCGGTCCATGTGTGCAAATTTCCCTTTTTACACGAGATTAGTAGGAAGATAATGGAGAGGCTCAATTTCATGTTTTGCACCAATAATTAGAGAAGCATAATTATAATAAGACAATAGCACCACAATTTTTAAAAAAACAAAGAAGAGGGATAAGTAGCTGGGCATGATTATTCATACCTATAATACCAGCACCTGGGAGGCTAAGGTAGGAGGTGGTTACAGGTTCAAGCCAGCATGGGCTAAGTAGCTGCAGGACAGCCTGTTCTACAGAGTGAAACCCTATCTCGAGGAGAGCATAAATAAATCAAAGAAATATAGTAATATGAAGTGGCTATCAGCTAAATTTATGTCAATAAATGGAAATAAAGTCCTGTGTTAGATGATAAAGACTTCTATCTAGAATACTTTAATCAAAAAATCAAATTTTAGAAGTTTCTATGTTAATATGATTACTACAATAAAACTTGAGAAAAAAGTTTTGATTATTTTATGAATGGTGTGATTCATGATGAATGTATATTGTACTGTAGACCAACACAGAAATCGGAGTGTGTGAAAACTGTTTAACCAAAGGAAAAGATACACATACCTATAAAAATCTTAGCATATTGTGATCATCAATAACTCATGGAGTCTAAAATAAGTCAACTTAATATAAGCTTGATGAGGTTAACTTTTTTCCTAATTTAATATGTTATTGATTCTTTGTGGATTTCACATGCATCTTGATCCCACTCATCTCCCCATCCCTTCGCAACTGCCCTTGTAACCTATCCCAAGATAGAACTAAATAAAATTTAAAAGAAAAGAAAGAAATCTCATGCGGAAGCCACAGTGTGACCCAGTGAGTCACACAGTGTACCCTTTAGTCCACACATCTTTACTACAAAGTGCTCATTGCAGGATCTGGTTCGAGGACACTGGCTTCTGTTACACTATCGATACTGGGTCCTCACTGGGACTCCTCTTGGATATCCTGTTGTTCTGTGTCATAGAGATCCTACAACTTTGGGTCTGCAGCTCTGGCCCCTTCATGTGCTCCAACAGATCACAGATGGGGTAGATGCTGGGATGGGCCAACTCATAGCCCTGGTTCCTGGGTAGGCGGTTGCTGGATTGGCCAGCCCACCAGCTCTCCCTCCTCCTCACCACTAGGGTGAGCTCTCCAGCACTGCCCCAGCTGGCTCACCCTATGCACCCCAGCTGGCTCACTCTGTGCACCCCAGCTGGATTACCCTGTGCACCCCAGCTGGATCACCCTGTGCAGTAAGCACCTAGGGGTAGGGCCAGTTCACTTGATCTCTCACACATGTCACCAGCTCTACTGTGTTGCCCAAGTGAGGTGCAGGGGCCACTCTGCCAAGCGCTGCAGCTGGTGAGGAAGGGGGGTCCAGTTCTCTGGCTCTCCCACCTGCCAAAGGGCGGGGGGCTTCTCTTCCACACCACCTTACGGAAGGTGAGGGGCCTGGAGCCTACCCTCCTACTCTCACACCTTCGGGGCTGGCTCACCCTCGCCACTGCCAATGAGGTCAGCTCTACTGTGATGCCCAGGTGAGGTACAGGGCCTGCTCTCCTCAGTGCTACAGCCTGTTAGGGGCAAGGCCAATTCTCCCTGGTGTGGCCTTCAGTGAGGGGTGAGACCAACTCTGTTCAGCCTTATCCTCTCAGTCACTGGTGGTAACAGGAGCCACGCACAGACAAGGCTGCAGCAGGGCCACAGGCCCAGACATGGCCATCCACCTCACCCCACTCTGCCTCCTTCGCCTTCTCAGATCCGCCTCTCTCGGAGGGAAATAAACATCTGTCTTTCCATATTCCATATATTTTCTCACCAGGATAGTGTCCGACCACAAGGCGCCAGTTGAGCCCTTTATTTTCTCCTCCCCACCCAGGATGCAGAGCCCTGGGTGGGCCTTATGGGTGGTCTTCTCCCTCTCAGTCTTAATCAATGAGGTTAATTTTATAACCATAAACTAACCTTAGTATCCAAGTGGTGACATAATCTTTCAAGTATTGAGAGATCATTTGTAAAAAGCATTCTATACTGGACCAGAAAAAGAAAACCTCCATTAAAGAATTTCTCCTTAGTAACCATAAGATCTGGGGTGTGTAAGTGAACAATTTAAGCCAAAGGCTCACTTACTGTGTGAGCATTGAAACAAAGGTAAAATTGTAAGGTGTGCTTATCTAGCATGCACCACACCGGGGTTTAGTGCCTTGTTAGGATAAAGCACTTGACCACTTCCCCTGGCAACCAGCCCTCAAAGTGAGACCATCCACAAAAGAGGCAGAGACAAGACACCTCTTACATCATAGACTCTTACCCACCTATATGTGATCTTGACCTTGAGATTTCTCTAGGAGCTGAAGGAAGCCAGTGAGAACTTAAGCAGTGAAATGACCAGCTGTGGTGGTGTTCTCCTGAGCATCACACACCCTGAAGTGGGAACAATACAGAGATTAGCATGGGCCCAGTGAATGGATGACACAAATCAGTGAAGCGGTCCAGAGCTGTAGACAAGAGGACCAGGGTTCAAGATCAACCTCGGTTATATAGCAGGTTCGAGGCCAGGTGTGGACAGAGATCATATACTGATTTTTTTTCCTGAGCTTGTTTTTGGTAAGCATTCCTTCCTTCACTGAAATGTAAGTATTGGATTTCAGTATGAAGAAGTGGGATCAGAGCCTACAAGAGTACAAATCCAGTGTGAGTTTGGCTATTATGAAGGCCCAAAACTTCTAGAGAGAGATGGATGACCCCATCTCTCACCCAACAAATTAGGACCTTAAATTAGTTACTTTTCTCCCTACTACAACAAAATACCTAACAGCAACTTAAGGAAGGGAGGGTTGACTCTGGGTGCCACCCATCATGATGGAAAGTTGTGGCAGTGGGACCATTAAGCAGCTGGTGACCTTAGACCCGCAGTCAAGAAGCAGAGATGCTGATACTCATCCCTTCCTCCTTTCTGCTCAGTCTCTAACTCTGGCGCCTGGGTGGTGCTGCCCCACAGAGTGGGTCTCCCACTTCCGCTAGCCCAGTCTAGAAGCTCACACACATGCTCAGAAGTCTGTCTCTAGATGAGTCTCAATCTTGTCAAGCTGACAACATAACCAGCACAGACTTTAACCAAACATGGGTGGGTATACAATCTGACCCAATCCTGTACTTTGTGGACTGACAGAGGAAGATCAAGATGAAAGATCTGAATCAGGAGAAAGGTGAGGAGAGTGTAGAATCATTCCTTAAACTTGCACATGGGGCCAGATAGGAGCCTCCCTGCCTCCCTCAGTTTCTTGTCCAGTCAGAGAATGAACAGGGTTGTGTTTGCTTCCTCTCCAGTCTAATCATGGAGCCCATTTGCCCAAACTTCCCTTCAAAAAGAGGCACTGGGTTTCTCCTGAACTTTGACTCCTGACATTCTGGAAGCATCACTGTGCTGTGTCCTACAGTAAGGTTGCTTAACAGTGAGGTCAGTTGGTTCCCTCCATTGCATCTGCTCTTTCTCTGCTCTCTTTCCTCCGGGGAATCTCAAGCTCAATGTCTTTGTCACAAGACTTACTATCAGTGCCTACTTTGTCATAAACTACCCTGCAGCCTTTTGGAAAGCATGGCAAAGCCATATATCACAAAGAGTGTCGTGGCTGGCCTCCAGGTCTGCAGTAAAACCATGGCAGCTACCACACAGGATGTTAGCCAGTGAGACTCTGCCAGTAAGATACCCAGATGTGCAGAATTGGGAACTCGTACTGATGTGTAGCTCCATTCCAGCCATTTGGAAGATTCCAGCCATGTTTCAGGGGCACCCCAAGAGTCACAGAGCTCGGCCCCACTTGTAGAGAAGCTTTGTCAGGACCCTCGTCTAGTATACTAAGCTATATGGAACAGAAACATTAGTGTCTGTATGCTGGTTCTAGCCATACCTCTGTGAGCCAGTATGAAATAGAATGAACAGAGGTTGAGCCCAGAAGGACCTGGGACTAAACATTAACCTCTGACGTGGAGATGACCTCTGAAACACCTGACCTTAAGATGAAGCTCTCGTGAATTGCATGATGCCTGCCCCCTCCCCACTACCCTCCTAGACCCCTCCCCCACACCCTGGCAAGCAAGGCCCAGTTCAGAGAGTGGTTAAGGAGCCAGGCAGCCTTCGTAGCTGGTGGCAGGAGCCTGTCAGATTTTACTTTATGTATCATAGAATCTTTTTTTTTTTTACAGAGACATAAATTCCTAATTTGGCTTTTTCCTTTACACATTCATTTGGCGTACACACTAAGCACATGCTTTTTAAAAACTAGTTATGGTTCAGTTTTGATTTTCTTACTTCAAAATGATCAGCACCTCACTCTATGCATAATTCATTATGCAAACTAAGACCCTGTTTGAGCTTAGAGAAAGGGAGGAGGCAGGGCAGGCGTGTGCTTTGTGTGTTGGCACCTGCAAGAATCCTGTCATTAGACCTACTTACTTGCAGGGCACAGCCAAAAGGCTCTGAATGTCACCCCAGAGTGTTTAGGTTGCACAAAAGTGCTGCTACTGTTTACTCAAAAGCATTGGTTTAGTTAGCATTAAGCCTCCTAAAGTTCAAAATTAAGACCTTGTTAATTAAGGACATATGTTCATCTGGGTTTATGTTGTTAGAGAAAGTAGTTTGTATGTTGCTAGAGAAACAATGTTTCTGAAACCAGGATGCATGTTGTAGTCCCTCTGGACTAGACCACACTTGTGACTCCATGAAGGTGAATGCTATAGCGGTAACTATTCCCCTCTTCATTGCTCCATTTGAGGTGCGTCTCCGCTTAATGGGGTAGAGGTGTGTCTGTGTGTCTGTATGTGTTTCTGTATATGTATTCGTGTATCTGTGTGTCTGTGGGTGTTTCTGTGGGGGGGTGTCTTGGGTGGGTATGTGTAGGCATGCATGGGGACTAGAAGTCAACATCTAGTGTCTTCCTCTATTGCTCTCCAATCTATGAAACAGGATTCTTCACTGAACCTAGAGCTAACTGATTGGCTAGGCTGGCTGGCCAGCAAACTCCGGAGATCTTATCTCCGTCTTCCTAGCATTGGGATTACAAGTGCGCTCCAACACGCTAGGATTCCGTGTGGACTATGGGATCCATACTCGGGTCCTCGGGCTTACACAGCAGGCACTTATAGACTGAATCGTCTTCACTGCTCAATTCTTGTGTCTAAATTCTTCACAAAGACTATGACTCAGCATAAAGTGTCTGCTGAGGGGCTGTGAGCTGAGTGGCAGGACAGGAGTGTGAGGTTTTGGAACAAATGTTCAAAGAATGGTCTCCACTCCGTATCTCAGAGGAACCGCCAAGTCCCATGTGACACCACAGGAAAAAGACAGCCCTGTCAAAACAGCCGAGCTGGGGCTGTGTTTTGTTCCCGAGATGCTTGAGAGAGGACTGGCAGTTACAGGCCATGTGCTATAACGGGAGGGGAGGTGATAAAACTGTCTAGACGAGCCAAAAGGCGTGTGCTCATAAATGGAGAGTAATCATTGTAAGAAAGAATTCTGTCAGATTTAATCAACAGGAATTTTTTCCTCGTCTTGCTGTTACACAAAACAATAGTGCTGCATGAATTTGATGGAATACAGTTGCTTAAAACAGAGAACTAGAATATCCCTAAAAAAGAAAAACTATTCCACCTACCAGCTGACTGTGAGTTGAGGAAACAGAATTCATTGACAGAAGTGTTCAGAGGAAGCGCATGTTCAGACAGATCAGCCACAACTCAGCCTATCCTCAGATGGTCCGACTTGCACAGCCAAGGTGTCATTGAGCCCTAGAAAGAGACGCTGTGAAGTAGCGAGTCTCCCAGGTGGGCCCAGAACCCCAAATCCTCACTCAATCATGGGGGACGTTGATTTAATGCTTCAGTTCCGGGGGGACAATTTGGACCTCAGGGAAAGAGAAAAGGGGTGAGTGGAGGGAGGGGTGAGTGGGGGAGAGGGAGAGGAGGGATAAATGGGGGGGAAGAGGTTGTTCATTGAGCTCTTGTCACTTTTACTGCCCTTGATCTCTGCTCTGGAGATCCCCACCCTCACCTGTGTTCCTTGCCTCCCTTGCTGCTCCCCTGCTCTCCTCCTTCTGAGCCCTGTGGTGACAGATTTATTGAGGTGGAAGGGAGTGAGGCATGTAGGAGGGAAAACACACCACAAGTGGGGGGCCTTTGAAAACCACTCTAGAAGTTAGCTACAACATTCCACTTCACAAATCTTCTATGCTGTAGGTCAGGCGCTGTCCACGGCGGCTGAACCTCCTCTCGTAAATACAGCTCTACTGAAACTCAGGCAGCCACATCTGTTCTCATCTCGCGGCTGTCTTGGCACCTCAGCGGCACAACTGAGTGACTACAGCGGAGCCCTGGTCCTTCTCAGACGTCCACTGCCTCCTGGTTGACGGGCACTCCTCTCCATCCCATCTTTTCCAGAGCCTTCAGTTAGTTCAGTGCTCTGAGAGGTTGCCACAGTGGGTCACTTCATCTCTGCTTGATTTGAAAACCGTTTTCCAGCGAAGCTTCTGAGAATTCCTCAGAATGGACACACTGTGGGAATTGGCTCCTCACTGTCATGAGGAAAGTGAGGTCATCCAGAACACGCTCATCCAAGCAGATCAGAAAGGGTATGAGAGTTCCTGCGGGTGAAAGGCCTGCGAGGAACTGGAATGTTGCAGGAGGGAAACTCAGAGGGAGGTAGCCGACTGTACTCATTTTCTCCATATTGACACAATCAATCCAAACACAATCAACCTGTCAAGCGACAATTACATTTTAAAACAGAAATACTAAATACTAAAATCCTCTGGAAATCAAATATGCCTGTTTCATATGCCCCGGCCATTCTACCTCTGGGTGTTTATATATGAAAGCATATGTCCACACAGACTTGTAACCAAATGTGCATAGCAGCCTTCTGCATACCAGCCCTACCCTGTCCACAGCAACCTCACTGGATGCTGAAAACCACTTAAATGCATTTATCATCAGGTGAGGGATAGACATATGGCGTCCATGCCATAGAATACTGCTCCACAGGAGCAAAGGGGCAAGCCACCAATGCACACAGCAAACAGGCACTCTAGAGAATAAAAGCCAACCCCAGAAGACCAGAACTCCACTTCCGTGGAAAACCTGCCACAGGGCAGACTGTAGTGAAGTCCGATTGGCTTGAATGAGGGAGGACAGTTCAGCCGGCTGTACTGAAGTCACCTGAAAGATTTCCCCCTTGAACATGTGACAGTTCCTTCTGGGAAAGTGCACACTGGGCTCTCCTGCCGTTTCCATGTGCTCTGTCCTCCCAGAGTCACTGCTTGTCTGTGTTCATGACCCAGCCCTGGAACTCAGACTCACCCCCGCCATAGTCACAGGTGCAAGGGGAAGGAACACAGACACTGTCCATGAGTCTGCTTCGCGTTGTAGGAAGAATCTGGAGGAGGGGTGAGATGCAGGCATGTTTGGGAAATATAGCCTAGTGTAATAATATTAAAGCACTTAACAGCACCTAGACGGAGAAGAACCAAATAAAAGACCCTCGCCTGACCGTCTCTACCACCAGCAGTCTGCATGCCATTGCTCTACAGTCCATGTTCTCCCTGTTGCCAGTAAATTGGAGACAGCTGATGCCACCTATGTCCAGATGCTTTTCAATGGGTGGGTGAGAGCCTTAGCTACTTTCAGAAAACAGTGTAATGAAAACCTTGCCAGCCAAAGAGGTGTTTTTTTTTAACATAATACACACAATTGTGTAACTTTATAAAGGGAGGCATAAAGAACCAGAGAGGACATAAGACCAAAAAAATCTAAATCCAGCCTGGTGAAATGGTGACTTTACTGGGGTTTACTAAAGACCAGGCAGCTCAGAAAGACACGCCATTAAAGGTTCTCAACCTCTAGCCAGCGTCTCTATCTCCTGCACACTTGAGCATCCTTGAGACCTCTGTCAGCTGGGGCAAGAGAAGAGTAATGACTGAAATCTCAGGTGAGCATCTCATGACCCTCCTTCCACAAGAGAGCATTAGCAGTCTCAGTGCCATTACCGTAGATTAGTCATCAGCCTTATTGTTCTGCTGGTTTCATTACTAAAATATGAGCGAAAGGCCTCTCTAAGGACCAACTTCATTATGGCTGGTAGTCATGTCATGCTCCTATCTCCAACTCTTTCGATTTTTTTTCTTCTGTTTAATCTCTTGCGTATGGTGTGTGTGGTATATGTGCATGTGTGTGTGCAGGTGCCCATGTGTGAGGGTGAAAAGACCAGAGGAGGACATTGGGTGTCCTTCTCTGTTGCTCTCTGCTTTATTCCTTTGAGATGGGTCTCTCACTGAACCAGGCACTCATCTTTATTCACCTAGGCTGGCTAGCCAGCAAGCCCAGTCGTCTTCCCCTTTCTACCCCGACAGTGCTGAAATTATAGGTGCCTGTGGCCTCCTCATGGGAGCTGGGGATAAAACTCAGGCCCTCATTCTTGCACAGCAAATGCTCTCACCCACTGAGCCATATCCCAGGCCTCTTACATTCTTTCTCATCCTTTCCACAGTGTTCCCTGAATCTTGAAGCGGGTGATTTTATATGTGTTTTTTCCTGAGCATTTGACTGATTTGCCACAGTAACAGATGCATCCACAGTGACAGACATTTATCCTTGGTAGTTTGAATAATTATGAGTCTCACAGATATTGTCCACTATGGAAAGGAGTACTGTGGCCTATTGCAGCACTAACTTACATGTATAAACACAAACATTTAGAAGGCAATTTGACAAGTACAAGTATATACAACCACTTAACCAACACAGAAAAAAAGCATTACTTTCTCCACTAAGACCTGTGATTTTTCATAGACATAAGTTTTCCCTCTGGATTAAAGTACCAAATGTGGGTTGCTTCCAGTGGAGTATGCTTTAAAGCCAAGCAGAATGTAATTGGTTGCACCCTTAATAGCCATGTCATTATTATAACAGTTATACCACAATTACACCAGTAAAAACTTACACTATCATGCCGATAGTATACCATCCATAGCTGAGCATGGCCACTCTCCCTGAGAGAACTACCTAGCACCTTCTAGCACTATGAACACCATCCAGTAGGCAAGGTGCATCCAACTCAGTCCAAATCTGCTTTCTCTATGCCCTGCATCCGGAATATGAAATATTTTCACCAACAGGAATTCACTGTCCAGGTATGGTGTGCACATAACAGTAATGGCACAGCTGAGGCCCCAAGTGTCCCTGTATCCAGCAATTCATTAGGCCGTATTCCATCCCAAGGACTGAGGTTTTTATTCAACAATAGTGACCCTCTGTATGCATGCCTTTTTTTCAACAAGGGTGCCTTCTGCACTTAAATGCTCCATTGCTATGTTTACTATTCTTCCAAATTCTCTTCTGAATCTGAAAGACACTCAGGTTCACAATGAAACCTTCTTACAGGACATGAGCAGGAGCCCTGAGGGTCCACTACCACCTGCAACAAGTAAATGTGAATTAGTCTCAGGCAGATAGAGTTAAAGAAAAAACGTTAATGGTGCCCAACACAGCACAAACCTTTCTCATCACTTGTATCCTTTGTTCTTCCAGAAGAGCAGGGAGGAGTACAGCTGCATGGATGGAGTCACTATTTTATATAGCTCTCTGGTCCCATCATTCTCCATGAGCAGTCTGGCTTCATTACTGGCCACGCCAGGTTGTTGGAAGGGCTTTGGACTGAGCAAATCTCATTTTTCCAGGCTGCCATTTTGTTTGGACTAGGGACTGCCTTTACAGTTTGCACCCTTGAGCAGAACTCTCCACTGGTGATAAGTGGGATACATTTCAGCAGCATACACACCCCCTCATTATGTTTTCCTTTCAGCTGAGAAATGTGCGCAGTATACTGGGAAAGAATAATTTTCCACACCCAGGACAAACTCGGTCCCTTTCACATGCCTGCTCCATTTCCACGTCTACACACTGTTGTCTATTGCCCTGGTGCCTTTAGGGGTTGCCATAAGTTAAATACTTAGCTCCTCATCCACCAAAACCAAAAATTTCTTTGCATTAATTGGGGATGACTAAATCTATAGTTCAGCGTTGGGCCTCTGTACATTCTGCATGGCCCTCTCCCTTGGGCAATTTGGGCCATCTCACTTGAAGGACAAGTGGAATTATTCCAACCCCTTGGATTTACCACCCTACATAGCAAGCAGTGCAGTGGAGATTCACTCCTTTGCTGAACTCTCAATTGGGCTTCATAGCCTTCTATAGGTACACAAACACAACATTTAGCATTTTGTCTTTCCTTCTTCCCTGGGAACTCTTGTGTTCACGTTTGTGTGGCCCACGTGGGCCCCTCCATCTTCGACTGTTCCTTTTCTTCATTCCCTGTAGACTGTTAGAGCGCTTTACAAACCCACTTTACATGCCTAAGTTGGAACCCCTCCTACCTCATGAAGATTGTAGCCCATCACCAAGGCCACTACTGGAGTTTCTTCCTTAGCTCTCCAGTGACCACAGTCCTGTTGGCCTGGTGAATGAATTATGCAAAGCACTTATCTCGCGGTGGTGCGGCACGCCTTTAATCCCGGCACTCAAGGTGGAGGCAGGCGGATCTCTGTGAGTTCGAGGCCAGCCTGGTCTACAAAGTGAGTTCCAGGACAACATCCAAAGCCACAGAGAAAGCACTTATCTCATGCCCAGGTCCCTACCGTCCTTTTTATCTTCTGTTCTTCCTCACTACATGATTCTTCCCAGTGGTCCCAGGTTTCTGGGTCCCAGGAGGGGCTATTCAGCACAGACCAATTTTGTTCCCTTTATGCTCCCGTACCCTAAAAAT